TACACGAAACATGATACACGAAACATGATACACGAAACATGATACACGAAACATGATACACGAAACATGATACACGAAACATGATACACGAAACATGATACACGAAACATGACGGGGTGTCTAGTCGGTCGCAGCGGTACCAACAACCGACTGTTCACCATCACAGACCCATGTCTGGAAGTGTTTTGTTTTATCCACAGATTGAATCATTCTTGTTTGGACACTCCGAATGTCGAACCAGCTCGAAAAAGCCATCGATGGAATCATCAAAGAGGAGAAAGTCTTGTTTTGGTTTTTTTTTTTATCAGTTCTAGAACCCTTTGTCTCTGGGAATGCACTGCTTATAAAAAGAAAAAAAATGCTAGCTTCACAAAATGTTTGTTATAGCAAAATAAAAATAAAAATATAATTACTGTATAAATATAAGCTTATAAGCGCAATGAGAATACATATGTATAAAGTCTTTAGCACACAGTTTTAGAATCCTTGTAGACAATGTTCTTCCCCTTCTTGGTCTTAAGTCAGCTACTAGACTTAAAACCAACCAGCTGTTATCACCAGGTAATGGCCCTCTGCTATAGATGATAGAGAGATAACTAATACTATAATGGTCATTTACTCTTTTGATCTGTAGAATTTAAAAAAAAAACTCAGTTTTTTACTACTTCAATATTTAATTAGGAAAAAAAAAAGATAGTTTTGTGTTGTCCATATTTATCTTGAACGTTAACAAAATAGTTGCATTAGACATAGAGTAGACCCAGTGGCGTAGCGAGGTCGGGTGTCACCCGGTGCGGCACTTAATAGTGTCACCCCCCAGAGGCGTAGCTACCCTTCCCGGGGACAAACTTTCAAACTTTCGATTTGCACCCCCCTCAAGTTTTCTATTTGCACCCCCCCCCCTCTCAAACTTTCGATTTGCACCCCCCCCCTCAAGATTTTCTCTATATATTTTGCTTTTTTTTTGCCTTGGTGTCACCCCCCCTAAATTGTGTCACCCCCCTAAATGGTGTCACCCGGTGCGGTCCGCACCCCCCGCCCCCCCCCCCCTCGCTACGCCTCTGAGTAGACCAAACCACACACCAATCCGCTCCACACCGTAACGGTTTCGCGTATTTCACTACGTGCATTTAACAGTGTGATCCAAATATGTAAACATCGTATTATGATAGCAAAGTTATAATCAATAACGTGCTTAGTGTATTTAGGTTTACCTTATAAACAAAGCCTCTTAAATCAATGTATTATTCAAACGTCTGTATCTATAAGTTTTTCATGCTGATATAGCCACCAAAATCTAAACTCAGATCATTTAATTAATAAAAATCGTCTCCTGTATCTAGTTTAACCATCGCACCTAAGCTAGCAGCAAATATCGACAGCAATTTTTTAATACGTATTATTCTAGCGGATAACATTAATAAGGGGGTCATCCATTTATTACGTCCACAAAAATTTGGAATTTTACACCCCCAACCCCCCCCCCCCCCCCCCTGTGGATGAGCACAAAAATTTAGTAAATCTCTAAATTACTAATTCAATAACATAATTATAATGAGTACCCTTGCTATGCTATTAATTTATAATGTAGTATAGGGATTTGATATTTTCGGTGGCATCTATTACTAAGCCTAAATATTAGAAGTTGAAACCAGAAAGTATTGGAAAAAAAGTATATTTTAAACGATTTAGTGTAAATAAGTTCCTTTATGATAAACGCTTGGTTTATTTTAAATGTTTTTTTTTACCATATCAAACAAAATCTGCAAGGTATTAAACATTTATTTTTGTAATTAATAAGATTTTTTCTGCACTCGTAGATGTCTTATAATCTTAACCGTTTGTAAGGCTCGACCTCATGGGGTTCATGACCTTTATCTCTGTTTCCTTTATTTCTCGTTTTATAAAAAAAAAATAACTCATTGCATAAGGCGCGGTCAGTGTTCTTGCACAGTCTAGAAAATGTCTAGAAAAGTAAATGTTAGACTTTTATAAGTCTGAAAAACCACTAGTTTTTGGGCTGGCTTTTAAAAACATCTGGAAAACGTTAGGAATTAAATTTGTCCACGATTTCGTTAATCGACAGCGTGTAAACTTACCGTGTGAATGTTCTTAAAGGACTATCTAAAATTGTTCTTTATTGAAAGTGATTGCACATGGACTTTCTGTACCTTTCGATTTTACTCACAATTTTTCATCAAATGTATTCAGAGGTTGCAGGCAGTCACAAACTATTTTTATTAAAGAGGGTGGGTTAGTGGGGCTGTAGACCGAACTATTTAATGACATTTGTGGCTGTCTATCTATTAATGACTATATGGGTTGGGGTAAAATTCGACTAATTAACGTGACGTCATATTACTTGTACTGACACTTATCGCTACACGTGTTTCCATTACAAACCACTTCTTCCTCTCCCCCCCCCCCCCCATTTGTCGCTATCGCGCAGAAAGTAAGCCCTACACACCTGATTTTATTACTTGAAAAAAAATAACTAGATCTACATAGTCATAGGCTTCGATACAAAATAATGATGCTGGCCTACTGTGTACCAGTGGCGTAGCAAGGTCGGGTGTCACCCGGTGCGGCACTTAATGGTGTCAACCCCCCCCCCCCCCCCAGAGGCGTAGCGACCTTTCCCAAGGACAAACTTTCAAATTTTCGATTTGCACCCCCCCCCCCTCAAACTTTCGATTTGCACACCCCCTCCCCCCCTCAATTTTTTCTCAATATATTTTGCTATTTTTTGCCATGGTGTCACCCCCTTCCTAAATGGTGTCACCCGGTGAGGTCTGTCACAGACTGTATAATTAGGTATGTTTATATTATATTGTGTTTTACATGAAGTTGCATGAATGAAGAGTACCTGGCTAGCGGAAGGACTGTCTGAGCGACTCGTCATGTATTTTCCCATGCTTTTGGGTGAGATCGCTCATGTACGTAAGGGGAGAGAATGGACCGTATAAAGGTAGAGCAAAAGGTGAACGGGTGTGCTTGCGCCTGGACTGTGACTGTGAATGTAGGATGTCACTAAGTCACTTTGATTCGTGACTGTGATTGTACTTATACCAGTTGTGACTATGGATTTACTATGGATCTATTAATTCTTGTATAAAGTGTAAATAAAGTTATAGTTGAAGCTACTACTATTGCTCGTGTGAGTTTATTCAACGTACCCACAATAACAACAATGAAGTTCATGTTGTTACAAGGTCCGCACCCCCCCCCGCCCCCCCCCCCCTCGCTACGCCTCTGCTGTTTACGATATATCAGGGCCTAGGTCTAGATCTAATTGTTTTTTAAATTATGTTTCAATTCTTTAAAATGTTCAAATATAAATTTGAAATACCGTGAACTGTTTTAGAAAATTGCCCTCCCCTCCCGCTTGAAAAAAATGTCGGTTCTTATAAGGCGGGCGGTATACAATTACATCACTGATACAATCATTTTTTCGCCCGTTGAACTTTGGGGGGGGGGGTTAACACGAGAACAGCCAATTACATTCATACATTTTATACACATGTTTGTTTTGTTTTTATTTTAGATGTAAATAGATGTTAAATTCAACATGTGGATCTCCACACTGACCCGACCCCCCCCCCCCCGCCTCCATGTGGACGTTATAAATGACTCCATAGAGTTGAAGATGTTCATGATGGGGTCATCCATAAATGACGTCACACACCGTCATTTTGTGACGATGTGTGATGAGGGGGAGGGGGGGATCAGATGTTGCGACGTCACACTTTTGCATTATAAAAAAACAATGTTAGAAAACGAATTTAAGACGTTATTTCGCGTTTTAGATAACTGTTTTAATAAATTGTAATAGTTTAGACAAGATTTTGGAAAAATATCGATGTTTTAAAAAAATTCAACTGCAATTTTGAGGGGGGTTGTAGGTTGAGGTGTGACGTCATTTTAGGGAGGGGTCTGGCTTTTTGTGCCGACGTGTGACGTAGGGGAGGGGGGGGGGTAAAAATCGTCAAAAAAAGCGTGATGTCATTTATGGATGACCCCTTAGCGAAGCTATGTCATACAGCTGCTATATATATATATATATATATATATATATATATATATATATATATATATATATATATATATATATATATATATATATATATATAAATCGTCAAAAAAAGCGTGACGTCATTTATGGATGACCCCTGATGTGTATTTTGAAAACGTTAATAAATACAGCATAAGTCTTGGTTGTTGTTGAAAAGATAGCATAAGTTTGCACCGTATTGCACGAACTAAGTAAAAGCCAGACATGAAACCAACTTCTGTGTCTTCATTAGCCTACACCTACAATCTTATCTATGGCCTTGATCTGTTTTTTCTCGAATGATTGTTATTATAAACCATAGCTGTGTGAAGAAAATCACCAGATAAAACAAATGCAATATTAATGCACCTGATTTAATGGTTTAACAAACGTATAGTTATTTTTAATGTACATCTATATACTCTATTTGATGCCGAAATGCATTTAATAGAAAAGAGTAGTGTGTCTTTCCACGCACACTATCCTTACACATTACTTTTCAATTTATTGCATTAAATGTATGGCTATTATTTAGTGTCACTCAAGTAACGTTGGTTTTAAAATAAATTATATATATATATATATATAAATACATACATTTATATATATATATATATATATATATATATATATATATATATATATATATATATATATATATATAAATACATATATATATATATATATATATATATATATATATATATATATATATATATATATATATATATATATATATATATATATATATATACATATATATATATATATATATATATATATATATATATATATATATATATATATATATATATATATATAAATACATATATATATATATATATATATATATATATATATATATATATATATATATATATATATATATATATATATATATATATATATATATATATAGTTTGATGTAAGGGATTTATCAGTACATGTTACAAAATATCTTTCAGAAGTATGGGATTATATTATTGTTGAAACTTTTAAAAAAAATAACTCTTAGTGGGTAGTTGCAAAATGCTTGGTTTTAAAACCACTACGGTAATGTTCTGATTCTTTCGACTTTTACTCACTCCTCCGGTAGTAAACAAATATGGCTGCTAAAAGATTCGTTGAGCTACTTTTACCTCCTAAGGTAAACACATAAATATTAAATAAAGTGACATTACTATTAATTAAGCTATTTTAGAATTTAAACGGAAAATTAAAACGATGCTAAAATATTAACAATAATTTGATTTATGGTAGAAACGCCTTTTAAATTGTAATATAAAATATAATCTACACTTAAAATTGGACTTTGAACTTTGACCTGGAAAGCTTGTAAATAATAGATAAGCCTAGGCATATACAAAGGGAAATAAATAGTAATTTTAAATTGTGGTTTTATGATTTCCCTTTACCAATGAGAATTGTCTTATTGTTTTTCAATCATGTTTTTGTTCTCTATACTTAAAATTACTTAGCCCCCCTATAAATATTCTTTACAGTATTTTAAATTTTGCCGAAATGAGCTGAGTACAGGCATTTCCCTTCATAACCAACATGCTAGCTACTTTCCTGCAAAAACGACACCATTTCTCCCCCCTGGAACTTTTGACAACAAAATAGCTTTCATCACTGGAGGTGCCACAGGACTGGGTAAGGGCCTGGCCTCACATTTGTCCCAGTTGGGAGCTAAAGTCATTATAGCCAGCAGGTGAATTTTAGTTTTATTATCTACATACTGTATAATTTTACTGTATATAGTGTCTAGTTAATTGTGTCTACCACTTTATTTCAAGTACTAGTATTTTGGCCTACTAGTACTACTGGAACACTTCTGCATTTAAATAATAATAATAAATGAAATAAATAGCTTGAATAATCATTGAAGTTTTTGCAAACAGTAAGTTACCAAGTAATTTATCCTTTTAGTATCACTGTTTATTTAGTAAACTAGTTTAATAAATGAATAAAGATAATATGATATGATAATCAGAGGCGTATACAGGTTTTTGGGTTAGAGGGAGTGGCGAATCAAGAAATAAAGTGCAATAGATATATATATATATATATATATATATATATATATATATATATATATATATATATATATATATATATATATATATATATATATATATATATATAGGCATATATGTATATATATATATATATATATATATATATATATATATATATATATATATATATATATATATATATATATATATATATATATATATATATATATATATATATATATATATAGCAGCTGTATGACATAGCTTCGCCAAGGGGTCATCCATAAATGACATCACGCTTTTTTTTTACAATATTTACCTACCCCCACCCCTCCGTCACACGTCGTCACAAAAAGCCAGACCCCCCCCCCTAAAATGACGTCACACCTCAACCTACAACCCCCCACAAAATTGCAGTTGAATTTTTTTAAAACATCAATATTTTTCCAAAATCTTGTCTAAACTATTACAATTTATTAAAACAGTTATCTAAAACGCGAAATAACGTCTAAAATTCGTTTTCTAACATTGCTTTTTTATAATGCAAAAATGTGACGTCACAACATCAGAACCCCCTCCCCCCTCCCCCTCATCACACATTGTCACAAAATTATGGACCCCCCCCCCCCTCCCCCTGTGAGTGTGACGACATTTATGGATGACCCCTAAGGTGAAAAGTACTTTCAAACTTTATTAAGTAGAAAATAAAACTACAAAACACCATGTAAGCCGACAGCACTAAACAATTAATCACATAAAACAAAACACAACACAAAATATACACACAACACAAACAAAAACAAGAAACAACACTATCTGTTTTGTAGTCCTTGTAAAATAAAAAAACAGTTTGATATAATGTAATATTAATTAAGACAGCAAACCACAGTTGAGGAAATAATCACACTCTTTAAATAGATATGTATAGGTCTACACATTTAATTAATTGTAACTATCAAATTCAACCAGATCAATAATTATTTTACTATTTAATATAACAGGTTATTATTACTATTCATTTTTTACAAGTATTGTCTACAATCAGAATTAAATATATTCCTTTATAAATGCTAAAACATCACAGCATAAAATTAGGTTGTGAAAACAGTTGGTATAAAAGCACGCTTTTAAAACAAATACAAATCTAAATCTTATGTGGATTATTCAGAATATTATTGCAAAATTATTATGCACAGAGTTTTACCTTGAACAAAATCTATGATTCTGATTGTAAAATAATCTAAACTATACAAGTTATTCTATATTTAAAGTTATACTCTTATCCACAGTGTTTTAGCTAAATTTACCAGTATGTGTGTATAGTACATTTTAAGTATATGTTCCTTAAGTAAATCTGCGCATGCCGATCATCTTGACTAATACTAACTTTCTTGAAGTTGTGAAAGAATGTGTTTATTTTTACTGTACATTTATTCAGCCCCCCCCCCCCCCTGCCCATATAGTTACATAGATGCCTTAGGAAAATGTTCTAGATCAGCTAACAGGCAAGGGACCTGCAGTTTCCCTTCCTGCTAGTATTTACATATTGAAGATAAGCAAAATCATATTCTACGGGGCAAACCCAAGTTAACAGGCCTCCCATATAAAAGAGGTATGGCTGAATTTAGCCCTTACAACTCATGCAAAGGCTACAGTTTTGAATTATGATCGATCTGTGGGTGGTTGACGGTCCTTATCCAGCAGTAATAACACAAACAGCAGGTGTTCTGGCACTAAAATGGAAGGACCTTGTGACAAAAAAGTGCATTGCACAAGCCTGGCGCTGGGGTAGGCGCAGATAAGTAAGCCAAGAAGTAGGTTATAGATCTATTTGCCATGAGTTGTTAAAAATGTGACATGTAGGGTACATGATAGTTTTTATTCGTAGTTTCAGTAATGAGTTTGCTATTGTTTTTTGTTTGTTGCGGAACTTGTTTTAAATTTTATTTAATTATTCTCCAAAAAAGGCGCATTATCCTTGAAATTCCCCTGCGTATGCTACTGATGATATCATATTATCTTAAATATTATTGGTGTTTAATTACTTTAATAAAATTTCATGCATGCATTTTTTTTTTTAGAGGACCTCTCCTAGTTTCCTAACTTACCTCACACTTTTTAATAATTTTATCCAAACTATTATTAAATATTGCTGCAAAATAATAAAAAAATGTAAAAATTGTTTTAGAAGTTTAGAAAGATTGAAACTTACATCAGAAGAAATTTCAAAGGCCACTGGAAATGAGGTAATGCATTTTTTTTTATTTAGAGTGGTGTTTGTATATTTAACTAAGTACTTTATTTTTATTAACATTGTATGACTATTAATGTCAGTGCAATGCGGTTCATTAGAAGGTTCACAAAGTGCTTTATCTTACAGTGGCCTAGGCAGGATTTAGTTGTGGGTATTTTTGTTAATAACACGCACACACACACATAGCCCATATATATATATATATATATATATATATATATATAGGTGTGTATAACTTGGCCTTATATTTTTAAGATGATTATCCTGGGTTAAAAAGCTGACTTACATGCTGTCTACGTTACTAAAATTATCTCTTTTATCTAGAAGCAAGGCCTCTTAAGTTTCCATGTTAGACACTTATTCAACAATGAAAAGTAAAAAATATCCACTTATTTATCTTTATTTCATTGCTCCATTCTGTGTTATTTAGGTGGTTGAGTACCAGCTTGATGTGAGGAACCCTGACGAGATAAAGACAGTGTTTGACACGATCGAGTCGACTCATGGGCTGCCAGACATTATTGTCAACAACGCGGCCGGGAATTTTATTGCACCCACAGAGCGCTTGTCTCCAAAAGCTTTCACCACTGTCATCAATATTGTCCTGAATGGAACAGCTTATGTTACCTTAGATGTAGGCAAGAGGCTGATCAAGGCCAAGAAAGGTATGCCTTTAGTCCCGTTTTAGTTTTTGTGTCGTACAAAAAGTATTATTTATGATGTTTATTTATTCAGAAATTGCTAAAATTTAATTTTAATTAGTTGAAGGCAAAAGTTAAATAGTTAAATTAATATAGAGGGATACAGGTAAATTCCTCACTCAATTTTTTTTTTAATCTTGTATTAGCACTACCACATTATTTTATAAGGTGTAGGCCTATACTTGCTTATGATACATTTATATGATGGTAAAAGAATACAGAGAGAATTCTCAAAACAGTTTTTAGATGTTTAAATTTTATTGCGAAAACAAGAAAAGACAGGCTGTTCCATGCCATAGAGAAATAATTTTTAAAAAAAGCTAATTTGAAAATGTGCAGAAAACTCTGGAGGCATGTTTGGGGGCAGCTACTCTTCATCACTGGAGGAAGAGATGGTTCATTTAACCCCTAAGGACCTTTTCTAGAACCTTTTTCTAAACTTACATGTCTCAAGCAGCTGTTTTGGGCTGATTATTGTTGACCATTCTGATATTAGAAGCTATATTAATAAGCTAATGACTACTGGCTTTAAAATTTGCATTAAAAATAGAGTAAAAATTATTGTAAAAAGAAAGAAGAAAAAAATAGGATCATTTAGTTTTATGTTAATTAATTCTAATTAATTTTATTAAACAGACAATTCAATGCATAGGGTGTGAAATTGCCCCGGATCACCTATTCTCAAGTTGAATTTATTACAATTGTTAGTGGCCACTATAAATTTTAGTACTATTGTTTTGTTGTTTTTTTCAAACAAGAACTTCTGGGTCTTGGAGGTTCTGTACACCAGTACTAACTTCAGGCATTGAAACATTTGCTAACTTTAGTTCTGGAAGCAATTTGCCCTGTCCCTGGACCACATCACCTCTTATTTCCATCCCGCCTACTTTGTCTCCTACAGGTGCAGTGTTCCTGGCCGTGTCAGCCGACTACGCTGAGACCGGCTCAGGGTTTGTGGTGCACAGCGCATGCGCTAAGGCAGGGGTTGAAGCCCTGACAAAATCTCTGGCTGCCGAGTGGGCGCGCTATGGTCTGAGGTTCAATGCCATCTCCCCCGGACCTGTCAAGACCAAGGTAACTTTTATCATCAAACATTTTGATTGATGATTGTTGGTTAGTCAAGAGGTAGAGAGCTGGACTGCTAACCAGAAAGTCTCGAGTTCAAATCTGGGTTCAATTCAATAGACTGTCCCTGAGTCCACCCAGCTCTGATGTTTACGTAACTCATATTAGGGAAAGTAAAGGCGGCTGGGCATAGTGCTGACAACACTATCTCTTCATATGTCGAGGTCACAGAAACAAGTAAACTCTATTTCACTTGCCCTATGACCGTCAAGTTTGAATGGGAACTTTACTTTTACTTATGATTACAACAATGGAAAAGTTAAAAACATTTTAATTACTCTTTTATATTAGGGATTGTTTATAAATGACATCATACTCCTGTATATAGAAGGGGGGATGGGTGGAGTTTGGTGACGAGGGAGAGAGGGGTCAGAAAATATTGTGAAATACCTGTACATTTTTACTGGGGTGTCTTGCTTTTTGTGATGATGTGAGGTGGGGTTGGAGTAGGGAAAAATCATCCAAAAAAGCATGACGTCATTGGATGACCCTTTAATAGATCTGTTTTATACATTGCATACAAGCATATTCTTTTAAATATTAAAACTTTGAACTGATTGTTTTTCGAATGAAGGATTTAGTAATTTCTTTTAAATTCAGAGATACACCTGATTGTAAGTGGCTATAAATAATTTTTTCTTCCAGGGTGCATTCAGTCGACTGGACCCATCCGGTCAGTTTATGGACAAGTTGTTGGACAGGATACCAGCTGGTAGAATAGGGGAGGTCGGGGAGTTTGCCAACCTGGCAACATATTTACTCAGTGATTACGCCTCTTGGATTAATGGCCAGGTAAAATAACTAATTTCAAAGTAGAAAATAAAAATGTTTCAAAACTGATGTAATCAATATTTTTGTGTCTTGTACTTCCTGAGATTATAGCAGTGGAGAGCTAGACTGCTAACCCGAGAGTCTCGAGTTTGAATCCGGGTTCAAATCAGTACAACGTCCCTAAGCCCCTCCATCTCTGATGGGTACCTAACTTAGGTTAGAGAAACAAAGGTGGCTGGGAACACTATCCCTTCATAGGCCGTGGTCAATAAATCATGTGTTTTGCGCATGAACGGATTAAGATGATGATGACTTCCTGAGATTAATTTTGACTGTGACATGTATAATTCAAATATGAATTTTCATGATCTGCCATGACAACTATTTAAAAAAATATTGTTCTTTGATTTGATGTGACATACATGTCATGTATTTCATGAGATAGCTTTTTGTGGACTGATTACATCATATGTTACTGTCAATATTTGCTCCACCAGGTGATTCATCTTAATGGTGGAGAGTACCCAGGTGGTGTGGGGGCGTTCAATGGACTTAAAGAAATCACAAATGACCAGTGGGACGTCTTGGAGGGGCTAATCAAGTCCACTAAAGGATCTTAGCTGTTTGTTTTATATTCTTTAACATTTTGTTTCATTGGTTTCATGGAAACCTTCCTGTTACTGTCATTTATATACATCTGTTATTTATTCAAATATAATAAATAATTAAATTGATTGGTGTTCATATTTGAGAATATCATTTTTTAAGAAGGATGTGAGATGTGTAGACATTGTTATATGGAAGTGGTGTTTAAGAACTACTAATACCACCCAGTATTTGTTTACTACACTTTCTTAGAAACTATCCACATTTATTGTGAAAACAACAATTGTAAGATTTTATATCTTATTTATTAAATCCCAGTTATTAAGATTCCCATTACATACAATTTATTTCAGAAATTTGTATTGTAATATCCTTACAAAATCACCGAGATACTAGTATCAATGAATCCAAGTTATTTGATTCAGGAACCACAACCGATAAAATATTAACTCTTGAGAGTTGTTTACATAGTTATCTAACATGCCTATTTGATAGTTGGATCCAGTGGCGTAGGCAGGGGGGGTCATAACCCCCCCCCCCCCCCCATAGACCCCTCGGTATATATAAAAAGTATAACGGGGGGGGTGTAAATCGAAAGTTTGAGGGGGGTGCAAATCGAAAGTTTGAGGGGGGGGGGGGTGCAAATCAAAAGTTTGAGGGGGGGGGGGGGGGGTGCAAATCGAAAGTTTGTCCCCGGGTAAAAATTGGAACCCCCCCCCCCCCCCTTGAGACTATCCTGGCTACGCCACTGGTTGGATCCATGGATGTCATTTTATTTGACCGAAATAAAAAGTCTCTTTTCCCCAAAACATGTTAAGTACCTGTTTTAGCTGTCACTGCTCTAGTAAGATCGAAGTTAAAAATGTTTACCTCTAGTGCAAGCTGGACTCAACCAAACCATAAGTGTAAACAGAAATATCAGCATTTCCATTATTTAAATGAGATTAATGTACTGAGCGATTTTTTTAAAATTATATCATTGATTTAGATAATATATACTTAAACCAGTGTCGTCGTCTCCCTCCCCCTCCCCCCCCCCCCCTTCCGTTACTGCATCAACACGCCAGATATCTGTTTACACAATGGTCTCATCTCAGATTATTGACTAAATATTCTTAGGGGTCGTCCAAAAATTACGTCGTCACACTCAGGGGGGAGGGGGGGGTGTTTATATTGCTATTTCTGAATTTTGACCCAATCAGTGTTTCTTCGTTTTTTTTCCGGGGGAGGGGGGGGGTGTGGCGGACACTGGTAAAAGTATGTTTTCTATATAAATTCCATTTCGTTCGGGGGGTAGCGGTAGACTTTTTTTCAGGGGGCTCTGGAAGAAACTCTGGACCCAATTTAGTAATTTACAAGTAATCTTTGAAATTGAATTTTTCAGCCCTAATTTTGCGTTGTAATAAGGCTTTTATTTTATAAATTCTATTGAATAGTATACTCAACGTTTACCGAGCTAGTATTTTCAAAAGAAATCGTTGTTTTAAAGAGCAAAAATTACAATTCTGATGTAGGGGGGGGGGGTGGTAGACTGAGGTGGGGCGTCATATTAGAAAAGGTGAGGGTGGCTTTTTTGTAAATAGGTGAGGGGATGGGGGTGGTAAAAATCGTCTATATTAACATGACTCTGTTGACGGATGAGATTACCCCTTTCTGGGTTTTATGAAAGTAACCGCCTTGTTGTTCTCTAATAGGACATGAAGGACTTTAAAATTTCAAATCCGATTGTTCGCATAAAGCCGAAATTCGCCTAAAAATTACAACAACAAAATTTTTAAACAGACTTTCCAGCCGAGGCTGCTTAAAGTATTTCCTCATTAGGTAATGGCTTTGTACTGTTAGAAAAACCAGATTCAGTTTTAGCCTCGTCGTTTTATGTCTTATTTTTAGCCTCAATCTTCGCTCGCATATGCAAGCACTTTTCCCAACTCACATTCTTCATATGGTGAAAATAATTTACGGGTTAAAATCAATATATTTTTCTGATCGAATACAAAGGGGGACTTGTCTTAATCACTTTACTAACAACCAATTAATTATTTTTAATTGCCAGCTGATGAGGATATAGTATTCGAAACGTTTCGATTTATATTCATTGTTTATCAGTGAGGCACCATACTTCCTGTTACATGCTAATGGTCTACCTTGCCAATTAAGCAGCCTACACCTGTGTTTGCTAGATACGACACTGCTAACAGATCGAATTCAGTTCTATGCATGTACCCAGGTTTTTTTATCCACTTAGTTCTAGTAAGTTATTTTTAAAGCCAAATTTATTCCGAATTTGGCTTCTTATTTTTTGTGTGTTCATCTTTTATAGACATGATTGATCATTTAGAGGAAAAAATTGTTCTCTGAATATTCCGTTTTTAGGTCGCAGAGTTTGCACTTGAAGAAAATGGTATAGAGGGAGGTGGGAATTACAAGCATTTTGACATTTCACGAAGACGAGAGGGAAAAATTTTACTGTAAATCTGGTATTTTTGGAAACAGGTCAATTTATGTCACGATCATTTGCTACTGCTAGCTATTTACAAATAATGGGTTTTTCGCATTTTTTTCCATTTTTCTCTCTACTCCGCCGTCCTGCCAATTTCTGGTGATGATGACGTTCAAACTTATGTCATGGAATGCTATTGAGGTTAGTGTGTCACAGCGGGTGTTGTTGGGAAACATCGATTTCACATTGGATGCCAGCAGACGACTAAGCAGGCCAAGATGAAAGGCATTTCCATGGAAAATCTTCCGACAATTTTTGTTTTAGCACATTAGTTTTACGGCAAAAACACAACGTCACAGTCACAATTTCGGTTTATAATTATAATGCACGCTGTCTGTTAGGGGAATTTATAGAATTTAAATGTATTTAAATGTATTTTTCGAGTATTTTACTTGTAAATTATGTTTTATTAATGGAGCATTTGACCCACGGTTGGAAAACTTAATTTCCATAAAACAATTTTGCATGTTGGACAAATTTGATCTGAAAATATGAAGAGTGACGCAGATAGCTACTAATTAGGTTTAATGAATTTAAAAATAAAACGGACATTAAAATAGTTCGAACAAAAAGTCAAACTTTTAAAGAAACTCACGACTTAAGAGCTTACATTTGATTTACTAAATGGCCCCATAGTTCACCGATCTGACCATACCACCAGATTTTATAGATTTTTATAGTAATAGCAAAATTGTCATTCCTAAAATACAAGCCTTATCACAATTATCACCCAACCAACACAAACCCAACCCAGAGCAACCCCCGCCCCAGTACAACATCTACCGCAACACAAACCCATCTCAATACAACCCCTACCTCATCACAACACAATTTAAATACAACCCCTACCTCATCACAACACAATTTAAATACAACCCCTACCTTATCACAATCCCAATACAACCCCTACCTCATCACAACACAATCTCAATACAACCCCTACCTCATCACAACACAATCTCAATACAACCCCTACCTCATCACAACACAATTTAAATACAACCCCTACCTCATCACAACACAATCTCAATACAACCCCTACCTCATCACAACACAATTTAAATACAACCTCCTACCTCATCACAACACAATTTAAATACAACCCCTACCTCATCACAATCCCAATACAACCCCTACCTCATCACAATACAATCTCAATACAACCCCTACCTCATCACAACACAATCTCAATACAACCCCTACCTCATCACAACACAATTTAAATACAACCCCTACCTCATCACAACACAATCTCAATACAACCCCTACCTCATCACAACACAATTTAAATACAACCCCTACCTCATCACAACACAATCTCAATACAACCCCTACCTCATCACAACACAATCTCAATACAACCCCTACCTCATCACAACACAATCTCAATACAACCCCTACCTCATCACAACACAATCTCAATACAACCCCTACCTCATCACAACACAATTTAAATACAACCCCTACCTCATCACAAGACAATCCCAATACAACCCCTACCTCATCACAACACAATTTAAATACAACCCCTACCTCATCACAAGACAATCTCAATACAACTCCTACCTCATCACAACACAATTTAAATACAGCCCCTACCTCATCACAACACAATCTCAATACAACCCCTACCTCATCACAACACAATCTCAATACAACCCCTACCTCATCACAACACAATCTCAATACAACCCCTACCTCATCACAACACAATCTCAATACAACCCCTACCTCATCACAATCCCAATACAACCCCTACCTCATCACAACACAATCTCAATACAACCCCCACCCCCGTACCTACAACGACCATCGCAGTAATTACACCCCCCCCCTCCAGAACAACCTCCACACATGTACAACCCCTACCTCATCACAACACAATCTCAATACAACCCCCACCCCCATACCTACAACCACTACCGCAGTAATTACACCCTCCCCCCTCCAGAACAACCTCCACACATGACGTACAATCCATCTCATCACAACTCCCAGCAGAGTACAACCCCCCCTCCCCCAACCCAGAACAACCCCACCCCATTACACCTCACCCAACGCCCTAACAACACCCCTACCGTCCCACCAGCTTGTCAGTACAGGATCAGCCAGATACCAGAATTTGTTTTAGCACTCAGTAGCAAATTGTCATTTGTCGTCAAAGGTTAACCGAGTTTGGATTGGGTTTCTCGTTAGCCTTGTCTCCCTTGATCTGTTTATGAATGGGGTATAGCTATACATCTTGTTACCTGGTGGGGGGGAGGGAAATCTACATTCCACCCTCTCTTTCCCATATACCTTATATTAACCAAACATTTAAATACGCTTCTGTCTTTATCGAATCCTCTTGACTCTAACATACACAATGTTCGTACCCGTAGTGTTTTAACAGTTTTGTTCGCACAGTCATAATGTTGGATGTTTTTATACCAGCAATGGAAGAAATTGTGTGAATATCTGTGTGGTACAACAACATCATATCAACATCCTCTTCAGTACAACATTAATACAACAGCAATACAACATTAATACAATATTTATACAACATTAATACACCATTAATACAACTTTAATACAACATTAATACAACATTAATACAACATTATTACAACG